TAAAAAGCCACAACTGGTTGCAGCACTGAATGCTCAGCAGCTGGACCCTGCAGATGAGACCCAGAGAACTAAGGCCATACCTGTTGGATAAAGTCTGCTTTGCACAGGACCCTCTGGAATTTTAATATGCCCCAGGAATAAAAAGATATAATAATGAACCCTAAAAAACCACTGAAGCAATAGTCTTGAAATGGATACATTAGAGATCCTGCCATTTCACACATATAATTTGGAGTGAATTGCCCTTTATAGTGATTCAACCTGTGATGTGCTCACATACCCTCTCAAATGCTGCTTTCTATTTAGGACGGATTTTTATCCTTTCCCATTTTAACCTTCAGAGCAAAAACAGGTGGGTTTTGGTTTTTTGGTTTTTGGGGTTTTTTTTGGGTTTTGTTTGTTTGTTTGTTTGTTTTTTGGTTTTTTTTCTGTCATGGTTCCCTCTTTGCCCTTGTGTTCTCTGGGATCCTCCTCCATGGCTAACTGTCAGCCAAAAAGAAAATGTGCTTGGGTCTCAGCTCTGCCAGCTCACGCTCACCTGCACAGAGGGCACAACAGGCAGTTTGGGAAGGAAGAAGGAAAACTAACATCTTAAATACTTCAGATTAAGATTGATCAAACTCTTCTTCCAGAGCTTACTCTTTGTGCATCTCTGGCCTGAACTGGGTATCTTTGGTGTAAGAAAGCAGTACCGAGCTGAGCACAAACAGAATCATTGCACCTTTGTTTTCTGGATGTGCTGTTACCACGCAGCCACCCCACTACTTTTCCTGAGGGAGAAGTGGCTGATAACATCGGTTTGTTACCCAAGTCTTGAAAAACAGGGTACAAACATTACTGCCAGCTGGACAGTGTCACTGAACAGCCTGGTGACTGGGACAATTCCTTGTTACAGGAATCTTTGTTAGAGGCTTGCATTGCACAGTTCCACCACATCCCATTTGGACGCTGCAAACCAACACCATGAGGAAGGGAAACACAGCCCATCGCCCGCCCTCCCCTGCTGCCCTGTCTTGCTTTTCACAACTCAGAGACTACCAGCTCCCTCGTGAAGGAAGGGCTTTTATTTTGCCCTTTCAGGAGGGACCCGAGGCAGGAGAGGTGGCTGGAGCATGGGCAGAGCTGGTTTCGCCTCCCGGGTGAGTCACCGAGCTGCCTTGCCTCTATCAGGTGCAGTGTAAATCCAGAGCAGTGCCTGCTCCTTTTCATTAAGGGCCTTGAGCTCGCTGCAGGAAAGATGAAAAGGGCTGGTCATTATCCATTACATGTGACCCATTCACTTGCTGATGGGCTGGTTTTCATCTCCCTGCCCTGCCTGTAGGCAAGCATCCCCCAATACCCTAATCTGCTTTTTTTGTTCTCCACCATTTATTTTCCTAGGAGCCTTGTCAATAGTGGCTCCATTCCCTTCCCATGCCTCCCAGCGCTGTAGATTCAGAAGCCTTAAAGGGTTCCAGCTCACGGTAACACATTCCAGAAAGTCTGACCGCTTATTATAAAGCCAGTGTAGGAAGGATTTGAGAAAAGCACGATGTAACAAGAGAGCTGGGTAAATGCACAGCACACGCAGCCTGGAAACGCTCGAAGGTGAACGGGAAGGGGAGGCGGGGGCATTTGGAAGCCCATTAAATGAGAACTTATCATCCGATTTATGTAAATCACTTCAAATGCCTTCATTTATTAAAAGTATTAAGCTGCATTACTGTTTGCCTTTGGTCCCCTAATTTGGTTGCTAATGTCTAAAACAACTGTTGAAATTAATTTGAAATTAATGTTCCTATATAATTACTTAATGAATCTCACATTCACTGCCCTTAGCTCGCAGTCGACAAAGGATCTCACCCGCCACATGTAAGAGGTTGGAATACCGACTGTGATTTTAAAACGGTTGCTAAATTATAGTTTGCAAATATTTTACATTTATATCACACACTTCATCTTGAAGGATCTCACTGTGTTTGAAATGTTACATAACATTTATTCTTTAGTAAAATTCCACCACAAAAACTTTCTGGGCATCAATCTTCTTATTTCCCTGCATGCCATGAAATTAAATCAAATTTAGCTGTATCATTATGCAAACAAAAAATCATACCTGCATTAAAAGATTATTATTAGTGCTGTAAAGTCAGACAGTTAAAAGATAGGAAATGCTGAAACTGAGACTCTGAGCAATATAAGTTCCTTTTCCCATACATATGTCTTCTCATAGTCTTTAATTTTATGATCACGTATTTTCTTATATGCACCCCCTCCCTCAAGGGACTTATTAGTCCTTGTTAGTGTCCAAGAAAAAACAGGATAAGAAAAAAATAAGGTTCAAGAAAAAGCTAGCAGGGAAAGGTAGCCATTTGTGGAGTCCTTGCCTCATTCCTTACAAAAGCTGCACAGGTTGTAATGCGTGTGCCTCCTTTTCTGGGTGGCTGACTTGGTACCCCATAAATCCTGATTGGCAGACATGCTGAATATGCACAGCAGTAACTGAAGCTAAAGAAACATTTGAACGTGCAGAGCATTTTACATACTACCAAACCCAGTGAACGATGAGGTCCTGGGGTCTCACACTTAAAATAATCGTACACTTCAAAGGGGAGAAAACACTTCTCCCTCTCCCAGGGACAGTGGAAAATGTATTTGAGCAATTGCAAACCAGCCGGACTGCTGTGTTATGGAGACCCACATGTGCTCCTTCTCTCCAGCACCACGTGGACACGGTGCAGCAGGAGGGGAACAGGACACACTGTGACCCAGCAGCAGCAAATACCTGGGGGAGTGTTGGTGCTGTTGCACAAGGTAGCAGAGGGAGGTAGGCGTGGGGCGGAGGGGGAAACAGCAAAGGCTATTTTGAAACAAAAGGGCTGAATTTAAGGCCTTCCAAACAGCCTTACTTTGGACTGCTCACCATTCTGTGTGCTTACCTGTGACTTTGCATTTCTTCTTAGGTGTGTATGGCTTCTTACGGATCAAGGCAAAGCACAAGTGCCTAACGTTGGCAATCAGCAATGTTCCAGAGCTTTCCTCCAAATTAGTTGAACAACGCTTTGCCTTGACACATCCTCAGCATCTAGGTCACAGCAAGTCACCCTCCCCACACTGCAAAACACCCCCTCCTTCGTCTTGCAGAGAGCTGTAGATGTGTGCCACATAGCCTGGCAAGGCTCAGAGTAAGGATACTGGCCAAGAGTTCCACAGCTTGGCTGAGGGATGGGCCAGTGAAGAGGACAGGTCCCCAAACACAGGACAACATCAACCTAAATCTCCTTCCTACAACAGGGAACAGAGACTACCCAGCAGCCCACACCCAGCCATCGCCACGCACACACCTCCACGTGCTGTCCTACTTTCTTAACTAGAAAGTCCAACCTCTCCTCCGCTCAGATCTTTGCCAAACCTCCCTCTCTTCAACACATTCCCACCCTTGACAGGCTGCAGATCTTCCTTCCGAAGTCTGTCTTCTCTCAGTGGGTCCTCCCTCACAAGCCCAAAGTATTCCTGTCTCCCACACTTCATGCATTCCTCAAGTAACAAGAATCATTACAACACCTCCAGGAACAACCGCCAAAGGAAACCTCTCCCAGCAAGGCAAATCTAAAAATCTCAAGTCTACAAGCACACAGGAATATTAGTTCCTTTTAAAGGTGAATGGCAGGAACATAAGGATGAAATATACTGTGACATCCTGGCCAACCACCTCGACATCCTTCTTGAACACCAAAGCTGTCAAAAGTGAACCAAAATGGGCAAAGTCTCTAGCTTGCCTCAAAGACAGCATTGTAAGACCATATCATCAAACCGACCTTCAAAGCAGATTGCTCTCCTTTTTTTCCAACTGGGGGTTTCATACCAGAAGCTGAAGGTTGATACTGTGAGAGTGCAGAGCCACTACCTCAGCCTAGACTTCCATTCCAATTCTGCTTTTTGAAAAAGAGGGAAAGATAAAGATACTAATACAACTGAGTATTAGAAGAGACTCAGCAAAAAAAGCAAAAAACTCAGCAAAAAGCCCCTTTCTTGAGGCAAAGGTGCTTTTCCATCTCCACGGCTTCCTCCTGCTGCTTGCAATCACAGGGACAAGGCTGCTTTAGTCAGGTTTCCAGAGTCCTGTAATGGAAAGCAGCTGTCCCTACCCAGATTGCACCAGACATCTCCATAACTATTTTGTCATCTTCTTTTGGTCAGTTTTGTTACTCAACTTCCCAGTGCTGCTGTTAAGATAACAACAGCAATCCTAGGACTGTACTCAACATACTTTTTTAAATTTCCAACAGTAACCTGAGGATGTTTGTATTGCTACTTACCACTCGCTATACAGACTTTACATTTGTTGTGTGTCAAAACATGAACTCCAGAACGAACTTGTATTCTCCTGATGTGGGCGCTATACAGACTTTACATTTGTTGTGTGTCAAAACATGAACTCCAGAACTTGTATTCTTCTGATGTGGCCTGCATGACCCACATCTCTCAATGTGAACAATTTAAGTGACTAGGGCAAGCCTACTTGAAAAGACTTCCCTTTCTTTTCCCAAGCTGCACAGAGCTGGACAAACTGCCAACATTCAACACCATCTGAGACATTCAGTTTTGCAGAACCATTCAGATGGCAATGAAGTTCTCAGTCTTTACATAGCTATCTTCAGAAAGCAGTAAGAACCACAGTGAATCTTGCCTCCACCATTAAAATAGCACCACCCAATAATTTTGGGGAGGGGAAACTCCCTCACATTTTGCATTAATCAATGTCACTACAACATAAGATATTCAGTTATTTAGTTAACAAGGTTAAATAACTGCATGTCCCTCAACTATACCTTTATTCTGAAAGCTAGCTTTAAGTAACAATTAAGTCTCCGTTTCTCCAGGTAAACAGCTAAAAAGCTAGTAGCTCATTCAAATTCCATATGTAACTATAGTTGGCCCTTTATTTTAAAAAACCCTAATTTAATTTGGAGCTACGGTTGCCATCTCCCTGTCTTTGCATACACCAGCTTTAACAGGTCCTTTGGGGAGCGTTCCTTTATTTTAAAAAACCCTAATTTAATTTGGAGCTACGGCTGCCATCTCCCTCTGTCTTTGCATACACCAACTTTAACAGGTCCTTTGGGGAGCGTACATGGAAGTGGTAATAGGTGTGGTAATTCCCACTTTCTGTTTTCCAGTTCAGAGAGTAATTGAATCCAGTCACTACCGCGCTATCTTTCTGGCAAATCTTTGCTAGCCTCCATGAAATGAGTTGGAAGTTTGATTTCTGTTCTCCACAGGCATGTTTGCGTGATACAGATGAACTGCTGTAACTGGCAAATTGGAGGCAATTTCAGCAGAGATTCCTAGGCTTAAGTAAGTGCAAGAACAGAACTTTCACCTCCAGAGAAGTCTCATCTTTAACAGTCCTGAGAAATGACAGGACAAGATTGGAGAGTTTGGATTTCTGCTGTTGCAAGACACTTTGAACTCTGTTTTATTAAACCAGCACTCACATGAAATTACTAAAAAAAAAACGCCAAGTCATTATGAAATAAAATACTGAGGCAAAACAAGTTTTATCACTCCCTAATACTGCTTTCAATCTCTGCTGCATTTTAATTGGAATACACAAGTATTTTATTTCCTGTGACAGCAATATTCATTAGTCTTCATTCTGGTTACACATGTTTAGCCCCCCAGGACAGCAGCCAGTGCAAGAGCATCAGCTACTGACAGACCACTAGTGGCATTCCAGGCAGGTCCGTGAATTCCGCCACACAAGACACTTCAGAACCAAAATACAACGGACCAGGTGAGTAGAGGCTAAATGTATGACCAGGCTAAGATTAAAAACTTTATTTTTTATACAAAACAATAATAAATCCAAGCAGATAATGAACTAAGTGTGTTTTCTCATTTTCCATCTTCTTTTCTCAATAAAGTCTATCCACAGTTCAGTGTTAAACCACTCCATATTCTGCAAAAGCTATGACGTTTCCATCTTGTATCCATGTTTTTCTAATTCAGCTCTGTATGGAAGAGAGACAGATATATTGAAACACATACACAATACTGTTAGATGTGTGTTTTTTAAAAAAATTAAATATACTACACAATATGCAATCATTTTAAATAGCAATGTCATACTACTTTTTTATTCATACCAATTACCTTAACCTTACTAACTTGGTAATTCTTAAACTCCAATTTTTTATCTTAAATCACTATAAGTGACTTCTCAGTGAAAAATTCAAATATTTGTTTTAATCACAGTTACTGCCCTCTGACTCACCATATGGCAGGAAGTAGCACCTATGCACCTGCAGCATCTCCAAATTCATTAGAATAACCAAAACATTATCTTATACATTATTCTCAACATTTTCTTAACTCAAGCAAGCTCACTATTTTATTTGACTTAACTGCATGTGTTTCCAAAACAATTGTAAGCTTTTTTTTGCTTTTAGAATAGTGCAGCCTGCAGCATCTCCAAATTCATTAGAATAACCAAAACATTATCTTATACATAATTCTCAACATTTCCTTAAGCAAGCTCACTATTTTATTTGACTTAGCTGCATGTGTTCCCAAAACAACTGTAAGCTTTTTTTTGCTTTTAGAATAGCGCACTCTGGAATTTTTATTTATGTCTTGCTGCAATACACCTCGCAATGAACAATTCTGAGGGAAACAATTGCTTTGTTATCCTTAGCTGTGGCCAGGACAGCAAGTCAGGAACTACAACTGTTATCACTCCTGCCCTGCCACCACTTTGCCTCTCACCTGCCTCTGAACATCAGCCAGGATGCATCCTGTTTTATCCCATTTTATCCTAGCACATGTGTGTCTAGATGCAGAAGTACAAATCTCTAAAAATATTTTGGGTTAGTCTGCACATTTAGTAGTAAGACTTTAAAAGTGGAGGACTGCAGCATTTGCTTTCTAGAGATGGAAGAAACACGCTACAGCCAGGCAACACTGCAAACCACTACACGGTCACCAATACCACAGGCTGCAGCTAAGGCCAGTTACACAAAGTTTGTTTAGATCAACTGTGTCTATCAAGAATTATACTATTTCTTGAAAGTCTGTTTCATTACATGTTTTCCAATATTACCATTTAACTGCCTTTGAACCATATATGAAATAACTATGCCAACAATTTTTTGTGCAGAAGACACAAAAATAATTCCTTTCCCTGGAGTACAAGGGAGATCAACGCAGGAACTGTTTAAGCAGGCTGTACTACAGACAGTTTGCTCCTCATGAAAGACACTGAGGGATTAATTATAAAATCTGGCTTTGTTCTGAATGCTTGAAACAATTTAAGTTATAATTATGCGTCAGTAAAGGATTACTGAAACTACAAGTGACAAAGAGGATTAAGCAACTGGTTTAGAGGTACACAAATTGCTATCACTTTTTTTAAAGTATGTAATTAACAATTACTTTGCTGTTGTTGCTCATAAACAGTATGTTCATCACATAGGAAAGAACCTTAATGTTAATACAGATCACTAATCTCCAGAAAATTTGCCATTTGGACAAAGAACAGCAGTGCTGTTTTAAAGTACAGACATAAAAACTGTAGCATACTTTGCACACCACATAGCACAAAGGGATAATCTTGGATGCCTTGCCATTAATCTTGGCAGTACAATTCAGAACTTTCACACACACACATACAAAAGTCATTAGAAAAGGATTCACTCATGTTAAATTGACAAAGTGTCAACTATATCTCAATGTTCCATGATCTTTGCAATGTTTGCGTAACAGAGCAAAATTCTGTCACCACAATGTCCTAAGGCATTTTCAGTAGAATTATTAAAAGATGAAATGCTGATCAGTACTTCAGAGTCTTGTAATCCCTAAATCTGGGTCTAAAAGGCTTTAAACAGAAAAGCAAAAAGTAGAGCTTTCATTTATTTCCATTTCAGATCTTTATTTCTTCAAAATAAGCAGATGTCAAACTTTTAGATATTAAATAATTCAACTCCATTTAAAATATCTAACCTGTCTTCTAGAACAGAAAGTTTAAATAAAATTACCTTAACTGATTGGAGAAATCATCTTCTACATTGTCATCATCCCAGTTGTCTTCCCAGACATGTGCATCTTCATCTTCATCTAAACCAGTCCAATCTAAAGACAGAAAAGCAGGTCTAAACATTGTGTCCTGCACTGCTTTGGTAGCATGTCTTACTGACCAATTAGCTCAGCCAGGGGGAAAGGCAGACTTCTGGTAAATTTAACAGAGAAGTCTGGAACACATTCAAGTGTTTATGAGACACCAAGATCTATAACACATCTCAAAATTTCTGTAATTGCAACAAAAACCAAACTTGGTGGAAAAAATCATTACACACACATCGTGGCTTGCAAGATTAAACATTCCTAAGAGATATTTTGCATACTTATGGATAAACTGTAGCATCATCCTTCCAGATTTGTATTTAAACACCTTTTCCAGATTAAAAAAGTAAATATGCATCAGATGCTTTAGCCAAAACACAGACACATTCTCTGTTCCCTCAAATCAGATGCAGTCAGCGTATGGACAAATGACAAAAAAACTATCTGTCATGCAAAAGTGAAGGCAAATTGAGACAAGCATCTGCAAACAGCACTAGATACCTCTAATCAACTATTTCTGGGCTCCCGAGACAGCAGAAGCTGTCTTGCCTTTGTAGGGAAACACTTTATGTCTATTTACTAACTTTAATTATATTTTTCCTATAATAAAGTAATCTGGCACATCACCCTTGACAAATTACTCATCACACACTTAATCTTTGATTTTAATTTTTTTCTAATAATGAAACAAAATAGTTCAGAAAAATAATGAAAATTAAAGGCTCAGAATCAATACGAAAACATTAGCTTACTTGATTTTTTTTAGTTTCTCAGTCTATTCCTACTGAAAGACACACAGTTTTTCAAATGTCAAAAGAAAAGAAGCCACCTAATTTTGACTTGCAACTTTTTATTTCTCAAAGTCTATTACTTTGCAATACTGTTATTCCCCTTTCGTTCTAGTAAGCCATCTGCTGCCCGTGCAGAGAAAGCTTTGAGGACTGAAGTCTAAAGTAACAGTAAACACCGATGGAGGTATGGGGGGAGCAAGGGAGAAAATTAGTGGGGTAAAACATCAAAAACTAATTCACTGTGAACAGCTAACTTTCCAAGAATGAAGCCTGGTCTTTGCATTTTCTCCTCCTTTTTCTAACACTGACAGGCAACAAAATTAATATTTGAGATTCACCAGGACAGGAAAATCCATTTGTCACTGATTAAAGACACACGTGTGGAAGGCATTACAATTAAGTTTCCTACTCAAATAAATTATATAATGGGAAAAGATGAAGGAGCATAGAAACTGTGCTGTAAGAGCAAAAGAAAAATCTGGGAAGAAAAAACGTTGTATATAAAAATGCATTATTTGGATTTAGCTGTATTGCTAGTTCCTCAAAAGGGAAGGGCTTATCCTTTAGAACCACCTGCAATAAGCTTTGCCCTTGCCAGTTTATATTCCATTGATTTTTTTTTCAAAAAAGAAACAACTTTACTGATTAAATGAATTTTGAAGAGAGAAAAAAAAAGCTCAAAAACCTTAAAATTAACACAAAGTCAAACTTTTCTACCTACCAACATCTAAGTAGCTCAGACAAAACTACAAACTTGAAAAGAAAAGTCTCCCAGTAACTCATATCCAGCACAACAAACAGCAGCTTCAGTCACAGAAGATCAGCAGGGCAGATTGCAAAAAGATGCTCTAAATCACTCTGAGTAAAGAGGAGTCAGAAAGGCACAGCTCAGCTTCCTTGCTGGGGTGGGGAGGAGAGTGAAAGTAAAGCCTAAATTATAAATTACATTCTCATCCCTGGAGGACAAGGTTCTGCAGCATCTGTATATTGAAACTATTACCCCAGAATTGTACAATACAGTTATTACTCCCTGCTACATTATTTGCCTGTGACTAAACAAAAGTAAAAAAAGGTAGAGCATTACCTGGGATTTAAAGTATTAAGATGACTTAAGAGTCCACTACCATTAAGTATTACTAATATACACCATAATTACAAACATGTCATGGCTGAACTCCTTAAAAATATACTTTTATATGCTGATCACTGATTGTTTTATTTTGTACTTGGGAAACAAAAAATAATTTTTAGGATTTTAGGGTTCTTTATCCCCTGCTCTATCACTTCCCATTATATTCTGAAATGCACTGTACAAAAGATTCTTAAGTGACTCATTTACATGTATTTTCATCTACCATAGTATACTTATGCTATACTTCAAAGTATCCTATAAAAATTGGACATGTCTGGTTTTGATACATAACTTGATTTCATACATTGTTTAAGTAAATTTTTAGGTTGGAATAAACCCCAAAAGTCCGTGTTTTCATCCCTTAACATAGACTTGCATTATCTAATTTCCTTTGGAAATAAAAACTGGGTAATAGAATACAAAGTTCTTCTATTGCTAGAAAGTGGTGTTTTAATTTGAAAGAACAACAATTTGGAATGGGTTTGAGCCCAGTTATCACAGCTCTTTCCTAAATACTGGAGATAACAGACAAAGTGGTCTGAACACTCAGCATCTCAAAACTATAACCGCACTTGAGGATGCAAAGGGACCCTTTTAGAGGTTTTTATTTTCTGCAAGAAAGAACATCTAGAAGGCTGACGATGGTCACTTTTTAGTAAGTATCTGCTCCACCCAGAAAGCCTGCACAGTACTTTGCTTCAGCATTACAGATGGAGTCGAGCAAAACTAATTTCACCTTCTGTAACATCAAGTCAGGGCTCTGCCCAATCCAAGGGCCAGAAGCTTCAGAGACTTCCCCTACTGTGAATATTTAATTTACATTAATTTTTTTTTTCTTTTTAGGAAACACTTCTGCAAAAGAAAGTAGGGTCTTGTAAATTTATTTTAGCTAACATCCTAACTAGGTCATGAACTTCATCAGTACCTGCAAAAAACATTAACTTTAGCAGAACTAAAGGGCTCAGAACACTAAGGCTTGTAAGGCCACAGAAAAACCACACACAATGAGGACATTAGAGAAAAAAAATCCTGATGTTACTGATAGATATAATTTCTCATATATATAAAATCCTGATATATATAATTTCTCATAATCCACAACTTGAGACAGAATTAAGGACATAAAAAGTAAACATGCCCTAATAGGGATATTTCCAAGACTACCTCTAGGACACTGAGTTATTTTATTGAATTTAACTTCCTTATTAAGTATATCTGTACCTACGAAAAGCAAAACAGCATATACGTATCTGTGCTTCAATAGGTAAAGAGTAACCACAGAGCGCAGTATTTCATTTTCACACATTTTTCCACCTTACGCTCAAGTTTCCGGCCCTCGTCCCTCCTCTGCCTTGCCATTCTCATCTCCAGTGTCAAAAAGCAGTCAACTTCTCCCGCACTCGTTCCCAGCCCTCTCGCACAATGACACAGCACTTCCAGCGCGATGTGCCCAGCGCCGCGACACCGCGGCCGAGCCGGGCGCGGGCACAGCACCGCGCTCGCTGGCGCTCCGAGGCGCTGCAGCCGCTGCCCGGCCGGGCTGGGCC